GACCCTATCCTATAGCCATACTGATGAATATCTTGCATATCACCATAGAACCTTCATCTGGAGATGGATGGAGATAGAGACAGAGACCCACACTGGAGCACCGGACTGAGCTCCCAATGTCCCAAGGAGGAGCAGAAGGAGGGAAAATATGAGCAAAGAAGTCTAGTTATTCTTTATTTTGTTCGGTGCCATCTGTTCATAGTAGTAGAGTGCTTTCTGGTTGAAAAGCAAAGTGTTAGGGACGTGTTAGGTTATGCCTTGAATCTTTGACAGCTTGGGGGACCTTCAAGGTCTGCAGCACCTCAGGGAATGCAACTTGTAGCACTTGGTGTCTTATCTTCTAAAATAATTTTTGTTTGAATGTTGGTTTTTCTGTTCTAGGAAGGAATTCTGAGTTTGTTATTTGATTTACATTTCATACTCAGCTTACATTTGTTCATCTTTCCAAAATTCCAGTTTCCCTTTTCTGATTTTTTCTCTCTTCAAACTCCTAACACCACAAGTAACATGAGAGTGGGATGTGAGGGCCTCTGGCTGCAGCCTCAGTTACACAGTCATCCACCAGGGTTTATCTAGAGAGTCTGGTCCTTCCTTCCCACTGCATGAGCATCCTTCCTGAAGCTGCCAGATCCATCTCCCTCACAGCGGTCAGCTGACATGGATGGGTCAGGTATATGATGAGTAACTGTGCTTCTGTGCCAGTGACTCCAAACAAGCTGAAGGAATTGGACAGTCATTTATTATTCAAAAGAACATTCTAAGCAATATTTTTTTCCTTACTGATTTTTTTAGGCCAGTTTATCTTTTTCAGCATTGTTTAGTACTAAAATTGTTTGAATATAACCCCTTTATTTTGGAAGAAAAATGCTTATTTTAGGTACTGAACACTTGATACCATCTTTAAATTATGCTATTGTTAGATACTTAAACAGAGGTAAGAAATAGTAGTTGGCATTTTTTTTTTAAGATTTATTTATTATGTACATAGTGTTCTGCCGGCATGTGTGTCTGCACACCAGAAGAGGGCACCAGATCTCACTATAGATGGTTGTGAGCCACCATGTGGTTGCTGGGAATTGAACACTGGACCTCTGGAAGAGCAGCCAGTGTTCTTAACCCTCTGAGCCATCTCTCTAGTCCCTATTGTAACTGTTTTTTTTTTTTTTAAATGGTTGTTGTACTAGAAATAGATATTCAAGGATTTCCTGAAGTACCTACCTGGAGAAGTACTTAGTTACCCATAATTCACTGTTACAGAATGAAAGAAGCAAATGCCCAAAGATAGCAGGCAGTCAGGGAAGAGCTACTTAGAAGAATTGGGAGGTTGGGTTGCTCAGTGTTTAAAATAGAAGCTAATTTACAGTTAGTATTTGTGGCTGATTTTGTCATTTATGTGTATGTGTGAATGATGAGGGAGGACTGCACACGCGCACACACTACAGCACATCTGTGGAGGTCAGAGGGCAACGTCCATGTGAGATCTGGGAGTTGAACTCGGGTTTCCAAGCCATCTCACTAGTCCTAAAGTTCTAACATCCCGCATCTTTTTGAAAAAAAAAAAAAAATTTAATTAGTTAAAAAAAACTATCTTTTTTCATTTTACATACCAGTACCAGTTCCCACTCCCTCCCCTCCTGCTCCCTCCACCTTTCCCTCACCTTCCCCCATCCCATCCCCCATTCACTCCTCAGAGAGGGTAAGGCTTCCTTCCCATGGGGAGTCAACAGAATAGCACACTGCTTTGAGGCAGGACCGAGGCCCAACCCACTATATCTAGGCTGGGCAAGGTATCCCTCCAAAGAGAATGGGTTCCAAAAAGCCAGAACAAGCAGTAGGGATAAATCCTGGTCTGATTGCCAGTGGCCCCCCAGCCGGCCCCCACCATACAACTGTCGCCCACATTCAGAGGGTCCAGTTTGGTCCTATGATGGTTCCTTCTCAGTCAGGCCAGAGTTGGTGAGCTCCCATTAGCTCAGGTACACTGTTTCAGTGGATATACTATTATGGTCTTGAAGGTCTTGTATCTTATATGGTCTGGAATATAGTGAAAGTAACATAATGTCTTTACATAGTAAAAGTAAATAGTACTTCTGAATATTCAACAAAATTCAGTGAAGTTGACCTTTTTAATTAAGCAAAAGTACTTAATCCTTTTCAAAATATATCCCTTATTTCCACAAAATATCAGCAAAGTATGTTAGCTACATATTTGTTGTAGTTAAGGGGAGGTGGGGGCATCTGATAAAGGAGAAACAAGAGCATTTTACAAAATGATAATTATCCGTTGATAACAGACACCTGTCTGTACTCTCTACCCTGCTACTGGAGAGGCTGAAGCCAAATGGATTTACTCTCAAATTGGGGCCTGCTTGGACAACAAAATGAGAACAAGTCTTAAAACAAAACAAAATAAAACAAAGCAGTAGTTGGGGCTAGAAAGAAGGCTTAGGGTTTAAGAACATTTGCTGCTCTTTCAAAGGACCCAGGTTTGGTTTCCAGTACCCACATCAAGTGTCTTATAACCATCTGTAACTCCAGATCCAGGGCAGCTGACTTTCCACTATACACAAGTAAAATAATTAAATACGTATTTTAAAAATACAGTAGCAAAACAAAATAAAAACAAACAGAAAAAACAACCAAACTTCCCCTGCCTCTGGCAAATGAAAACAATTGACTTGAAAATCTCAGTGGGGTCAAGTGTTATCTTTCCCCCCATCTCCTGCGCAGGAGTCAAACCCAGACCTTGCACACGCTAGTCAGAAAGTGGTCTTGAGGACATCTTTATAGTGTGGCGACACATCACTCATTCACCATGGAAGCTGAGTAATCAGGCCGACTCTGCTCCTGGTTTTTGATTATGAAGGTACAAGACATAAAGACATACAGTATATATATATATCTATTGGATATAGAGTCCACCAATTTAGAAAACTTTAAATATTTAAAAATACTATACATTTCTAAATATTTAACCTATCTGCTGACTCACTTGCTGCTATTGTAATATTAACATAAACATTGCTGTAAGTGTAAGTACTGTTTCATTTGTGGAATGCAGCATTACTGTGGATATAATCTGAATGTTGTCTTTCTTATTGGATGTAGCATTCATCATTTGGTGATCACAAGTGTTTATCAAGGACCTTTCTGCTAAATGAAAACATAAATTTCATGGATTAGTTTGTGGTGATGTGTTTTTGATAAATACTGGAAAAAAGCTTTTTTTGAGAAAAATTGGTTAACATTTAAGTCCTGCCATAGTATTTGTTAGTAAAGTTAAAGATACAGTCACATGGTGATAATCTGTCCCATAATTTGTAAGAAACAGTAGTTTTAAATTAGTAGTTTTAATTTTAGAAACAAGATTGTATCTACTTCAAATTTTGAGTTTCCGTGTGTTGAATTCTGACTGTTACAATTCTAAAAGAGCTTACTTGCACTAAAGTGACAATGTTTGAAAATTCAACTTCATGGGGCACATTTCTTTCTTTTCTTTTTCTAACCCCCCCCCTCAAAAAAAAACCCTCTAGTACAGTACAGTGTTTGTCATTCTCTGTGGCAGGATACCCAGAGTTATATTGACGGATATCCTGCGAACGGAGTTAGGAAGAAAATACTTAAAGGTCCCACCTATATCTGAGGCCAGTTTGAGTGGTACAGCCAACCTGAAGTCAGATCAACTTTCTTCATCATCTGATGGCAGCTTAGAGTCTTGTCAGAATGTAAATCATCACAAGAGCTTTTTATCTGAAAGGTATGTCTAGTGGTAACTTTACTAAAATATATATCTATTTATATATCTATTTATTCTCATGTACCTAATCTTTCCTCCCAGATACATTATTGTAAATGTAAGACAAATGTGCTTTAATGGCTGTTGTGACTTTCCCCCACTGGGTAGAATGGCTTTGGAAGCAGCTCATAATCAGAATCAAAAGTCTGTTCTTGTATTTTGAAAAAATGGATACAAACCCTGAATGAAGCTTTAGTTACCTGTTTTAGTATCGTATATTTTTTTGGTATAATGGAAATAATTCCACTTCTCCTTTCTTTTCCCTTCCTATTTATCCTTCCACCTGTCTGCACATTTCTCTGTGAATTCATATCCATCAACCCACTTGTCCATCTGTCCGTCCATCCATTCATCCATCCATCCACCCATCTGTCCGTCCGTGTTTGCTCATCATGCTTATACCAGGAAAACTGAACCTTGCTTTTAGTGCTCGATAGATATTTATTGAACAAATTGGTGAACACAATGCTATCACGAATGATTTGCAATAGCTGAATTCCTTTAACAAGTACAGCTTAGTATACTACTTCAAAATAGATGTTAACAAATGCAGCTTACTGTACTACTTTGTCAAAAAAGCCAGAAGATGCTCAATTAATGAATTCTACTGAATATTTTTTTTGGAGAGAGTTTCTGTTCTGTAGCCCAGGTCTTAAACTTGTGACCCTTTGTCTTGGGTGCTGGGCTTACTGTGTACACCACCAAGTTTGACTTCTAGATTTTTTAAAAGTTCACTTGCTGTAGAATAGTCAAACTTATTTCCTGCTTTTAGTCTGTAGAAATCAGAGCTTTTGTTTCAGCGAAATTTCTTCTGGTAATAATGTTCCCCCTAAGTATCATCTTCAAGGTTATATTTTCACTGTAAACCTCAAACTTACGGTTCCCCCATTAAAGACTTGTAACAAGTTTCTTAACATTTTTTAACAACTTGTATCTTTTAAAAACTCCTTCTTTCTTATGAAATTCTGAATTTTTTCAAATTTGTGTTCTGATTCTTGAAGTATCAAAAATAACTTTTGTAATTAGTCTCTGTTCTATTCCTTTCTGTTGCTGTGACGGGATCTCCTGGAAAAAGCTACACTTTTAGTTCATAATTCCAGGTTATAGTCCATCATTGTGGGTAAGTCACAGTGACAGGGACTTGGAGCAGCTTATCACAGTACGTCCACAGGCCAGACCAGGGAAAATAAGCATGTATGTTCATGCATGCTTGCTTGTGTTCAGCTTATCACACCATGTCCATAGTCCAGACCAGAGAAAAATAAACACATGTATACATGTATGCTCATGTGTGTTCAGCTTGCTTTTCTTACCCTTACATAGCTCAGGACCCCTTGCCTATGGAATGGTGCCTTTCATAGCAGTTGACACCATTAAGACCATCTGCCACAAATGTGCCCACAGGCTTACCCAGAGTAGACAGGACTTCATTGAGGCACTCTTCCATTATTCTAGATTATATCAAGTTGATAATTAAAGCTAGCCAGACAGCCTCTTCTAAAAATTGTCCCTTCTCCAATAAGCATTTCAGTGTTGGGCTTGAGAGACGGCTCAGTGGTTAAGAGCACCTACAGGACTTGGGTTGGGTTCCCAGCACCCACATACAGTTCACAACCACCCATAACTCTAGTTTCAGGGGATCAAATGCCCTCTTCTGACTTTCGTGAACACCAGGCACTCAACTGGCACACAGACATACATGCAAGCAAAATACTCAAGCACATAAAACAAATATAACAAAAAATTTAATTAAAGAATTTCAATATTATTGAATATATAGAGATTTTAGAAATGCATTTATCACATTATTTTGCAAGTGAAACTTTCCTTCCCTCTTTAAAATGAGTCATTTTGAAAGGAGAATTCAGAGTACTTAGTGGGAATGGATTGACTTAGAGCTATGCCATCACTTTAGTAGATCTGTCCCAATACAACTGTGTGATACAAGATGAGCACAGACTATACGGAACATAGGCATGTGTTGTAACCACCCTCTTCATGGGTATGTAGAAAGTATTTAGAGCTTCCCAGAGACACTGTCCTAACTGTTATTGGTCTGCCATTGTAAAGAACATGGGAACATGCTAGCCCTTGTTCTATAGAGCATCAGTGCAAGCTCAGTTGTGGGTAGAGGCGTGCAGGCTGTAGCCACAGAAACCAAGGTGCACGCCATGATGCATGTGAGCAAGTTGTTACATGAAGATTGAAAGCTCTGCTTTAGCCTTATCCTGCCGAGGACGATTATATTCCTTGTTACAGACAATTGGAGTAGAAGTATGTGGGGAACAAAATAATCAGAAATTGAGAAATGATAGGAAATACCCTGTTTATCCCTGTGATAAACAGGGACCTTAAATTATCTACTTTAGGTAGTGTATTTGCTTATTCAGCATGGCAATTTTCATTGTTTTTACATATAAACCTTAATTACTACACTTTATATTAGGTCTGGAGTAATTTTAACCTTACATTTATTCTAGCTACTCATTCTCCTTTCCTTTTTAATGCATTTAATTATTCCAATTATTCCTGTTTTCCCCAATTATTATTCCTGTTTTCCCCAATTATTCCAGTTACTTCTGTTTTCTCTAACTCCTTCAAATTACCTCTTCTTTAATTATTATTATTTTGTATAATATTATACATATATTGTCACCTCCCACCTCGACCAGCAAGGAATGATGCGACACACTGGAGCTCTTCTCACTGCAGTTTATTCCAGGACTTTACCATTCTTTCTCCTTCCTCTCCGGGCCAACCTCTCCCAGCCCTTAAGTAGGCATGGGCTGCCAATCCCGGACTGCCAGGTGGGCATTGCCCATAGGCCCACGCATATGCAAGCAGCTGATAATCATTGCGTTATCATAGCATAGGTCAGGCCTTAGCCATCTCAGGAGTTGATTATACATCTCCATCAGGTGTGACACCACACTGCTCGCTATAGTTCCTTTTGTAAAGCCACAGGTAAGAGTAGAGGTCTGATCTCTGTTAAAAATGGAGCATGTACTAGTGTTTGTCCAGGTGTCATCCACTCAGAGAACACTAGACCTGTCCGGTGCCTTTTTACAGAGGTGGGAGTTAGACACCAACCCACATGCAATCAGACTTGCTCTTCTTGAGGTTGATGTATGCCTACCTCACGTGCAGTGCGCAAGCCTTGCATCCTGTGCTCAAATATAGATAACCAAGCTTGGGGAGACTGTCCTGCTTCAATAGCCGTGTAGGCCTGAATGATCATAACTGCACTGCGATGCTGTGAAACCCTTATGTGACAAATGCACCACAGGCACACCAGAGAGGCAAGCACCATTAAGCCTGCCAGGGCTCTTATTCCCGCCCACTCCTTCAGATGATCCATGGAGTGATCCAGGAAGATGGTTCTTCTGCCAGGCTGGTATCCATGCATGTGGAATTTGCAGTCACAATCGTCACTCGCAGCTTTTCCAGTTGTTCGAATTCACCAGACCAATTACCTAAAAGATATCTAGACAATTCTTTAAATTTTTCATATCACACACAGCCCCAGATACTTCCATTCACAGCCAAGCTGAGCCAATTGCCACAGCTGCGGCTGTGCTTGCGGCAGCAGCAAGGGCAGTCAGAACTGGTAGCAGAGGGGCCAGCACAGAGGAGAGGAAGGGGAGGCAATCTTGCTTTCCCCTCCCTGGCTTTCCTCTGCCTGCTCCTGTCATTAGGAGTGGCTTTGCCAT